GACTGGGGTAATCGGGATGGGAGTGTCAGAAACAGTGCGATTGGCACAGGACAGAGCGGAATTTAGGGCTGTTGTACATAGGGTCGCTATGAGTCACAAACGAATAAGCAGCTCTACTCTGTACACACTTTCTCTCTTTCACTGACCCACCACCATCCCAATCATGATATCCCTCTCCAAGGAATAGATTTTCCTGGCAATGGCCAAAGTATGTGAAAGGAAGTTTTACTATCTCTGCCTCCAAGATGGACTCTGGCTGCATCTTCTCCAAGACATATCTGCTTTTTTCTTTTGGCAGTCCATGGGATATCAAGTACTCTTCAACAGTATCACAGTTGCATAGCAAGTGAACAGAAAGAACATAGCATGGATCAAGTGCACTTTAATTCTCAGACTAACATCAATGCTTCTTAATAATCTGGAGAGGTTCCTGACTATAGACTTTCCTAGTGCAATACATCTCCTGACTGCTGGTACCACGTATACTGATAGTGAATCCAAGCAAGACAACATTGTTGACAGTTTCTGTCTTTTCTCATTCTATCACAATGCTGTCTATTGGTCCAGTGGTCAGAAATTTTGTTTTTAGACATTGTAATGAAATCCATATTGAAGGCTGTAGTCTTTGATCTTCTGCTGCAAGTGTTTTAAGTCCTTCTCATGTTCAGCAAGCAAGGTTGTGCCATCTGCACAATGAAGGCTTCTGATGAGTCTTCCTCTAATCCTGTTGCCATATTCTTCTTCAGTATCCAGCTTCTCAGTTTGCTCAGGATACAGGGGAGCTCTGGTGGCCTAGTGGTAAGAAGCTGTGCTGCATTCCTGAAGGTATGCAGTTCGAATCCTCCAGATGCTCTGTGAGAGAAGGATGGGCAATCTCCCGCAATTTAACTGCCTCTTTAGCCCACTGGAGTGTCAGTTCCAACTTGATGTTATAAAAACATACAGATTGAATAGGTATGGAAAAAGAATACAACCCTCACGCACACCTGTCTTAATTTTAAACCATGCATTGTTCCTTTATTTTGTTTGGACAACAGCCTCTTGGTAAGGTTTCCCATGAGCACAATTAAGTATTCTGGGATTCCCATTCTTCTCAAGGTTAACCATAATTTGTTATGATCAACAGTCAAATGTCGCTCTCTCCAGTCAATAAAGCACAAATAGACATTCTTCTGGTATTGTTTGCTTTCATGTGACACTGGCAATGACCTCTTCTAAATCTAGCTTGTAATTCTGGTTGTTTTCTGTTTATGTACTGTTCTACCCATTTTAAGACACTTGTTGTCATGTGCCATCGAGTTGCTTGCGACTCATAGGATGTACAACATCCCTGAACTCTGCTCTGTCCTGTGCCAATCGCACAGTCTCCGACACAGCCACCCCAATTACCCCAGTCCCTGAATCAATCCACCTCACAGGGGGCCTTCCCCTTCTGCGCTGTCCCTCCAGCTTACCAAGCATGATGTCCCTCTCCAAGGACCTGTCCCTCCTTGTAACATGTCCAAAGTATGT